TTGGGGACATCAGCAGCAGTTATAGATGGACTCCACTTCCTCCAATGAAGACCTGATAGTGGAACTGAGAAGGTCTTCAAAGTATTCTCTGTTCACTGCCTGATGAGATCACTGGTTGAAGTTACCAGGACCCCACCTTTATAATAATGTACAAAATTTTGATAAAGTGCTGCTTTCACTGCCTCCGTCACCTGCCAGTTTGCCAGAATCTTCCTGGAGCCATTCAATAGTCTATACCAAGGCCTCATTGAACTCCTTCCTTTCCAAGCCTTTGTCTCAGCAACAGCCAGGGCTGCAGCCTGCTTGGCCCACACTAATATCCTTCAACTGTTTCTAACAGCTAACAAGGCTCAATRGGGCTTCTTCTTCAGCTTGAAGCCACCCCCCCTCACATGGAGTGTCCACCACAGAATTTGAAGATGGCCGCCATGAGAAGAACCAACAACCTTGTRGCCACAGCTCAGGGAAGCTGCCTTAACAATGGACATGTGGAACATGACCCACTAAGACTCAATGTCCCCTACCTCTGCTGGRATATGGTTCAATCTCAACCGGGTCTCTTCTGACATCTTCACTCCACTATCTGGTCTAACTCACTATAAGTGGTGACTGGTTGACAGCTTAGCTCCTATCTTCACCCAACAGTCCAAAACATAAAGCTGCAGATCTGATGACACAACTATAAATGTTAGAACTGATCTGCAATATTTTTAAATTATTTTATTTTTTAATAACTCTTTGTTAAATGCAAATAAAATAACAATAAAAGAACCTTATAACCTATATTTTATTTTAAACTTAGCAAAGAGTACATTTTAAATCTGATTTGTAAATGCTGTTTGCAACAAAAAGAAAAGAAACTCTCAAGACACCACGTGAAAAACAAGTTATTCTAAGAATGTCCTATCAGTGAATCACCATCTCTCATTTCAAGGATTCCCATCCCACACACACACACACACACACACACACACACACACACACACACACACACACACACACACACACACACACACACACACACACACACACACACACACACACACACACACACACACACACACACACACACCCTCCTCATGCATCATTTCGGTCTCAAACTCGGCCCTGTCTGTGAAGTGGTTTCAGTCATCTGTCAACACTTGGGAGTTTTTTTTTTTCTTTGCAAAGCAGTGAATAAAGTAACAGGGACATGAACGCCTCTTTTCATGTGGGAACCCCACGGGAACTCTTTTTAGCGCGTTGGTGGGGGTGCAGAGAGGCGACCCTTTGACCTGCAGGTTTGAAAACTCAAATGCAGGATTAGAATACGTAGAGCTCCTTGTTCCCCCGATCCTGACAGCAGACAAACTTCAACCAGCAGTGTCGGATATTTGCTTTAGTTTTCTGACAACAAACGTTTATTGTCAAGAAAAAAAGAAAGATCTTTTATAGCAAATTACTTTAGATATTTATCAGCAGCTGCAAAACTCGGTGGATTTTACAGATACTGACCTAAAATSTGAGATCTATTCACAATTACACAAAACCTTGGATTAAAGTTTTGCTATGAAGTTTTTGGAGTCARCTCAATTTTGTGAATTCAAAGATGGCTGCAACAGCCAACTGAACACAAAGGCTGTGTCTCAACTCATGGGATACAGCCCACGTATTTGTCAGCCGCTTGTGTCACTGAGCTGTAGGCTAAACCCTAAAAACTTAGGCTGCGTCTGAGTATCCTATGTGGCCGACAATATCCCAGGAATCATTGTGTTTAGGGCTGCAACTAACGATTATTTCTCCACTATTTAATTGTTATGCATAAATAAGTAAATATTTGTCAAATAGCTTCAGTAAAATAAAATGAATGTACACAAAAATATACACAAATGTGTGCTATATCCTTGAAGGTCTCTTCATATTTTCTCTCCATGGTCTTTGTAAAATGTGTCCTTGAGGGAAGGGTGTAAGCTGAAATAAAGTCTGTCCTATTATAGTAACATATTTATCTTTGACCATGAACACTCTCATCATGTTAAGAATACTTTCAGTCAAGACAGCTGCTTATTACAATAATTAATAATCTATCTTTATTGATTAGTTATTGCAGCCCTAATTGCATTGTCAACAAACTAAACAGAAAACCAAAAATGAAAGGTGTTTAGTTCGWTTTTGGTTTTTATGGCTGAGTCTAGAAATATATCAATTACTGAAAAATTAGTTTTTAAATGTAAGTATGTTTAGCAACTTACCTGATGATTTTTTTTTTATTTGTTGCAATGAGATGTTGAATAAAATGCAATTACAAGTATTAATAACGGAGCTAAACCCTAATAATTAATGTTATTTATTTATTTACATGTAACATTTTTTTAATAATACTGAATTTTGTGAAGTTAAGCCCTGATGAATCTCAATTGTCCAGGCAGAAAAAAATGAGTAGGTCCACTGGAGGTGTTCTTCTTTGTTGAAAACATTGCATCAAAATGTTTTCAACTTTGCTTTGTTGAAAAGAAAACTTTAACAAAAAACTCACCCACCTAATCTATTTTTTTTTTAGTCTTGTGAAGTTGCACCTTCATGAAAAGACGGGTGAACACATGATAAAAAACATATCACCGTATGGTAACAAGGTGGTGTCTGGTCACGCAAACATGCATCATCCAAAGACTAGACCAGGGGTGGGCATCGAGGCGCAGCAGCCCTGCATGTTTTACTTGTTTCTCTGCTCCAACACACCTGATTTGACAGAACGAGTGATTATCAGGCTTGGAAGTAATTTAAGGACTAAATCATTGTTGGAGCAGGGAAAAAAGTAAAACATGCAGGGCTGCGGCCCTCGAGGACCAGGATTGCCCACCCCTGGACTAGACCGTCTCATTTCACAGCTGTTCCATGCAGCCTACAGGGGCGGCCTGTGGCCATGTTGGGTGAGGTCTATGTGGGCTGCATCCCCTGAATTGAGACATAGCTAATACATCTATTATTTCTATCAGTTTTAGAGTTAATGTGCTCAAATTTGGTATGGTAGTAGCTGAGAGTTAGTGTTCCTTTTTGCATAATACCTTGTCACAAAACCTTTGCAACAACTGCTGAAATCAACCCTCTTTGTCCATTAAGGCCCTGTCACACTAGACAACTTATGCCAACTTATGAATATTTTAAAGACATCTACGTTGAAGACGGAATTGAAAAAAAATCTACTGGAAGCTTCTTTTTGGCATGTACATAATGTAATTCGAACAAATTGATCAAATATACWACTTTTATTAGCAATTTAGACATGAAAAGATGTTTCATAGGTTGGCATGAATTGTCTAGTGTGACAGGGCCTTGAGGAAAATATCTCATGAACCAATAAACAGACTTCAATTAAAATTTTAGAAGGTTATCGTTGGGAGGTACGACTTCCAGTTTATAAATTATTTCAGTACAGCTAATTAACTTTAACAAACACTCAGATTTACAAATATTTTGGCTGAAAATTAACTAAGGGTGTAAACCACCAGCTTTATTATTTTCTAGTGATTTGTTTGGATAATGAGACAAGATTTTTTTTTTGTTTTTTTATTTCCCAAAGTCTGGCATGATATTTTGATTCAGTTCACAAGTCTGAGATCAATATTATATTAT